GGGAGAAGCTGACTGGGTTATTGTGAGAATAAGTTACAAGGAATATGGGAAGGTCCTTAGCACAGTGCCCCCCATGTACAGTAGGAGTGCAATAAATTAACCTTCAAAATATACCCCAAGTCTCATTTTTCTATTTCCACATCTGCCACCTGGTCCAGCCACCATCATCTCTCTCTCTCTCTTTTTAAAAGATTTTATTTATTTGACAGAGAGAAAGAGAGAGAGCACGAGTAGGGGGAGCGGGAGAGGGAGAAGCAGACTCCCCGCCAAGCAGGAAGCCCCATGTGGGGCTCGATTCCAGGACCCTGAGACCATGACCCCAGCCGAAGGCAGACGCCCAACCAGCTGAGCCACCCAGGCGCCCCACCATCATCTCTTTCAACATCATCCTAACTGGTCTCCCTGCTTATATACCTGCTCCCTGAAATCTATTCTCAATTCAGCAGCCAGAGGAATTCCTATTACAGCTACAGTCAGAACATGACCCTATTGTGCTCAAAACCTTCAGCGGTCTCATCTTGCCCATCGTAAAAGCCGGTCTTCATGGTCCTCAGGAGCCACTTGTGCGGCCACTCTTCCTTCATTGACTTTATCTTCTACCCCAGGTCTCTCAAGTCAAAAAGGCTGGACCATTTACTAGTTCTCTAACCACACCCAACACTCCTGCTCAGGGCCTTAGCACCTGAGGTCATCTCTGCCTGGAAACTTTCCCCCAGATACTGAAGAGCTCATTACTCCTGTCACCTGCTTCAAGTTGATGGTAGACGTCACCTTTTCAATGGAATCTTCCCTGACGACTCTATTTAAATAGAAACACTCCTCCTTCCGTCTTTTCTATCCTTCCCTGCTTTCTTTCCATAGTACTTAATACTTTTTATTATATGAATAACAGTATACGTATTATCTATACGACACTCATTGGTAATACTACATATTTTACCGCACGCATTATACTGTGTATGACGTATATACGACATCTTCTTCACCCCTTATCCCCTGTTGACACAGGGCAGGAACTTTGCTTCGTTCACTGGTGTATCCACAAAGCCCTGCACCTTGCCCGGTACCCAGCAGGCGCTCCGTCAATAATCCGAAGGAAGAACAAATCAATAGCGAATGAATGAGCACGGGAATGACCCAGCATCTCCCGGCTTCCCGTGCTGCTTTAACCCCTTGACGCCCCAAGTGAGGATGGGGAGCTCGGGCGCAACGCGCCTGCGCAGCTCCACCCACCGCCCGCGGGTTCGAGTCCCGGCCGCAGCAGGGCGCGGCGGCAAGCACTCCTTTGCGAGGCTCGGCACCGGCGGAGGGTTACACGCGGAGGGGCGGGGCCTGAGAGGGGCGGGCCCGGATGGGGGCGGGGCCGGCCGGGG